CAGCTAAGATAACCAGCCCACCACCCAGTGAGGACGGGGCTTTCCACTAGCTCTCCTGTGCTACTGATGGGCTGGACTGACGGCCTTCAGCTGGCTCACAGGGCACGACCAACAGTTCCTCATCCAGGTTTGCAAATAAAATGCCATTTTAAGAGATGATCCAATGCCGAGGTAAGTAGGCTTAGGTCCTGCCTGGAGTGTTTTCTCTCTCGGTGAAACTAACTGATCCTCAAGAGAACAAACTCACTAGCATCTCACACCAGCTGACAAAATTCACTCCGAGGAAAAACACCATGTAGGCAAAGAGTTTAATGGGTTTGGGGGAAGAAGCCCTTCATTTTACAGACTTAACAGGTCCCTGACAATTTCACACCTTATTGAAAGAATCATCTGAGCCATTAGTAGGTCATCTGACCCACTCTTCTTAAAACATCTCTAAGCTCAGAAAACAACTCTAATAGCTCCAAGAATAGAAGCCATCTGGGATTTTAGCCTGACCACTTTCTGCCAAGCAGATCTGCGGGCTGCAGGCACCCCCATCCCACCCCACCCCACCCCAGTTAGTCTCTTGCCATGGAGCTTCCAGAAACAGCTCTGCACATTTTGAAGAACTCTCTTTGCCCCTTGTGAGTTGCCCTGGTGCACCACGTACAAACTGTGCAGCTTCACACTCCAGGAGCCGGGCTGTGTGCCCCTAGCTTGGGGATGGAGATGCTGCCCTCAAGGGAGAGAAGATAGCTCTAAACAGCTTGCTTGTCAGGTAGAACGTGGCTGGTAATTCACAAACACTAAGGGCCCCACTATGTGCCAGCTAGTGTGCGCTGGGTATTCAGTGGAGAGCAAGATAGACTAGCCCATGTCCTTAGAATGGGTTTGTTAAAATTTAAATAAATAAAACAAGGTTAATGATTTGTATAATTTTTAAAGTTTTCATACTGCAGCAGCCATTCTGGCATTTTCCTTGCTATAAGCCAGGAACACCATTGAGGGGGAGGGGCAAAGAGACAAAAGAAACAGGATCTTCTCCTGAGTGGGACGGCTAAGGACACACATTCAACAAGCTTTAGGAGGGTCATAACTATTCATGACAAGACCACACACCCCCACAATGGGCTTTCTGGCCTTTGGGGGGGCCGTGTTTAAAAATGGCAGCCATCTGTGTCAAAACAGTGAAAGAAGGACCCTGTGGGCCTCTCGGTGTGTGTTCTGTAGAGTGTGGAAACCGCTTCGTGATTAGTGGTCTTTTATCAGGAAAGAACATTGGTCCAGCCTTTGGGGAATAAAGTCTGATGGTCCTTAGCAAGAGAGGAGTAAAACAAGGCACGTCCAATCTCCCGTCCCACCATGGCTGGGACTCAGTTTTAAAGTTTTTCTGGGGTCCCACTGGCTGAAAAGGGTCTATTCAGGTGCAGGGGGTAGGGGTAGGGAATTAGGATTTTTATTTAATTCATGGGTTGGCCTCATGTTTGCTGAAAGATTGTTGGGCACCTACTGTGGGCCAAGCTGTGTGTCAATCACCTTCTTATTTAATTTCTGCCTCACAAACACTTTTTGGGGTAGGCGATGTTACCCCCATTCATAACAGGTACAGAAAGAGAGGCTGAAATGTTAGGTGACTCCATCAAGGTCAAACAATAAATAGCAAAGACAGAACTCAAATGTAGGACCATCTGACTTCAAAGATCCTTCTCTTCAACCTCACTGCAATGACCATGGCATTTCACAGCAGAACCTTCCCTCCGTGTGGCTGTGACTGATTTGTTGCCAAAAGTCCAAGATAAGGACTCACAAAGCCACAACCTATGTGTCCCCAATGTTTGACTGACACCTGCATCTGTCTCTGGCTGTCCCTGGGTGTCCTCTGTCCTAAACTGAATGATCCACTTATCATACAGTTAATGGTGATAACTGTAACCATTATCAAACAGATAATGGCCATTGGAAGATAACCAATTAGAATGAGGGAATAAAAGGACAGGTAAGAAGAGGTAGAGCCACTTCCAAAGTTAGGAACACAAGCCCCACCAGCTTCTTTAGGGTCCTCAGGTGGGGCTGGCCTCCCGCGGCCGCGCACGTGCGCAGAGTACACAGCTGCTACAGGGCAGGGCAGATTTCCCAATGTGGCTTCCACCCCAAAATTGCTGTCTTTCCTCCCCCTACCACCACCACTTTTTCTTAACCCAGGGAAATTATCTTAATTCCTTCTCTTTACTCTTTTTGGGAGAAGAACACCTCATAGTTTAACAGAGCCTTCAGAATGAAGTTAGAACCAGGGCAGCCTCCCTCTGGGCACCCCCCCTTCAGCATCCTCCACCTCATACACTCCAGGTAGTTCTCAGCCACCCCCAGGCACTTGGTCAGACATCTCCTGGTCCACAAAGCTTGTCTGACCAGGTTCCAGCAGCCGCTCCTGTGCCCTCCCACACCCCCCACGCAGCCCCTGGCATGGCGTCGTGCTCTGCGCTGGGCCTGGGGTTTGCCCTAAACTACCATCTCCATGCTGCACAGCCAGAGGAATCACATCTAGTCTTTCTGCTCCGGACACGGAGTTCAGTGCAGAAACCCAGGAGACCTTGAAGAGAAGAACTGAGGGAAGACACGGCTGTGCCCAGACTCACACCCACCACTCAGCCTTCCTGAGCTCATTCACACCACAGGCCTGGTGAAATTCCCTGCAGTAGAGACTGTTAAGGGGGCAGGCTTGACAGAGTGACTGTTCTCCGAGAAACAGGCGCAATCTGAGCAGGTGCTTCAGGGCTCCAGTGACAAAGTGCAGAGCCATTTTTTAGGAATATTTGCAGTGCCCTGAGAGCAGTGAGGATGACCTGGCTTCTAGCCTCTGTTCTGCAGATGGCCCCAAATGACCCAGGCCTATGTGTCTGGGAGAGTCCGAGGGTCTTGGGAACAGCTGCTCCTGACCCACATGCACTGGGCTCGCTAGAGGCAGGAAATTCCATGTTGTAATCGCTGGATTCCTTCCCTCATTCCTAATCCATGACAAGGTAGTGAATTAGTCACTAAAGAAACCATTTAGGCAGATTTCAGAAACTCTGGGCCCTCTTCTGTCAGTGTACATGAAGAGAAAATAAAACAGGACAAAGACCTCTGGGTCCCACAGTCTCCCCTTCCTGTCCATTGCCAGCCTGACTTAGGTTTAAAAGCCCAGGAGTTCCAGGAAGACCACATTGCCAAACAAGCTAAATTCACAGCAGAGTCCCTTTATTGAAGACCCAGCCGGCAACTGCCTCAGTGTCCCAACACGGGGTTTCTGAAAGCAGCCCCGAGCTGTCTGGGGCCCTGGCTTTTATAGGGTAAAATGTTTCTGGGGATAAACAAGCATTGTTACAGAAGCAAAAACAGCAGTTAAAGGGGAGGAGGAATCACGAGGGTGGGGCAGTTAGTCATTTTACACAAGAGCAATTAGTAACTTTTCTTCCTTATAAAATAGGTATAAACCACAGTGTCTTAGGGGGAGTGTGGAGAGGGGAACTTATGGGAAACTTCAAGGCTGATAAAGGCATGTTCATGAAAGCTGTCATCATGAGGGCCACAATCACGAGCTCCGTCAACAACTTATACACTACTGGGGATGATTAGAGTCACAGGATAGGTGGATGGACAAGAGCAACTAGCCTGGAAGGGAACGAAATGTAAAGAAGAGGAGTGAACGGTAAAGGGAGTCAGGCTGCTCCTTCAGTTATTCAATATCACACACAGACAGCACGAAGACCACCCTAAAATTCTGTCCGTGTCATAATCCAGGGTGGATGGGGCTCTGTTCTCAGTATTTAAAAACACACATCTCAAAGCTCACCGGAGCGGCTGCATCTGTGTTACCAAGCTGAACACATGTGGATCTGAGCAGATTAGAGAAACAGCATCTGGGGAGGCTTTTCAAAGAATGGGCTTTTAAGAAGTACTTTGCATACATGTAGCCCCTGAACCTGAAGAGGAATGAAAGTAAAATCAGTACCAAGGCAGCAGCTCTGAGCAGCGCGCTGGAGGATCTACCTGGCTTCTGCGAGAGTCGCGGTTGTAAAAGGCTGTTATTCAGTATATCTTTCATTTCCTTCACAGCTAATGATCGAAGTAATCAAAACAAAATCTTGCTATTACATTTGTACATTTTTAAATCATCTGGGGGGAAAACTTATACTTTTCTTCATAGCTTATTTACTTTTTCCAAAAAGAGGTTCTTTTTTTTTTTTTTTTTTTTTGGAAACTTGCTCTTACCATTCACTCGCATCAATCTGTTCCGCCTCAGATTAGTTTCAAATTCTATTCCGTTCCCAGACTTGCACAGAGCGTTAGCGTCTCGCCTTGGGGCACCATTGCTTGGCCAGGCAGGAGCTGCTGCGGCTACTTTTCACCATCCCCACCCTCTTTAGTACGTGAAACGGAATCCATACAACAGCTCCTTCTTCAATAAATTTTGCAAATCCTAATGAATGTGTTGAGCATGGGACTAATTTTTAAAAAGTTTTAAAAAAACAAATGCTAAGTCCTTCTTATGTAATTATTTATTGGGTTTTGTAAATGATAAAATATGTTGGTGGGTTAATGTTGTTTTAGGGGGTTATTAACATTTCAAAGACAGATAAAAGCAGAGAGATTTTTAACAAAGAAATTCCTTCCATAATCCTGCACCCTGAAAGGTGGCTCAAAGCAAAGAAATAACCTAACGAGAATAGGGTCCAGCATCCTTCTTCTTCAGAAATGTGGGGTTCTAGAGCCCAGGAAGGATCAGTGGACAGCCTGCGGAGGGTCCTCGCGGCCCAGTAACAGTCATCTCTGTCAGGAAATGTGGACTGGCTCAAACCACCTGCTGTCGCTACAGCTCAAGGTTACCTTTCATTTGGAAATGAGGCTGTCACCTTGGTTTAGGATATACACTGGGAGGCATATGCTCCTTCCCTGCTACCTGAGGGGACGTTAGCACTTGAAGCCTGTGTTTATGAAGCTTGTGTTTATGAACCCCATTCTCTTCTCTTCTCCCCTAGTTACTGTGACGGTGGGAGGAAAGCAGCACTTGCTCGGCCTGTATGACACGGCAGGACAGGTACACTTTTATTATCTCCTTCATTTAGGGGTGGGGAGAAGAACACATCCATTTGGCGAGGCACGTGGCGACTAACAGCACCGTTATCTTCACTCTGATCATTTGGGGCCAATTTCTCACCCACCTAAATGAGAACTAAATGCATATTCTTAGCTTTTAAAAATACTCATTACTACAAAAAACTATTTAGTTACATTATTCAAGGTATTTGTAGGTAAAGAATGATGCGTTCATTGACTGATGACCAGCCATCACCAAAATCACATTTGACCAGGAGTTTCAATTTCTCCCTGCAGAAACCTATTCCAGGTCCAAGATCAATGGTCAATTTCATAAATTTTAGTTCCACTCCCACTTTTTTCATGTTATTTTCTTTGCCCATCTTTTATTTGAGCTGTGAAAAGATCAAAAAAGAGATTGGTGAGGGTGAGGGGAAGAGGTAGGCAGAATATCAATTAAGTGTCGGAAGGAAAAAAAGCCAGGAGCCTGGATGTTTTCCAAAATTGAGTCCAACCTCTGAACAGCTGGAGGTTGACTCTGAATTCTCTAGGATTCTTGAAATATTCTGTCAGAAACATTTCAAGGGGAAGAACCTGGCCAACCAATAACGTAAGGCAAAGGACTAGAACCCTCAGCACTTAATCCATAGCACATGCATTGTTGGGGCGCAAATACCCCATCCATCTTTCCTCCCCACACGCTGCTATGGAAAGTTTCTGATGTTACAGATTCACAGGTTGGTGGAGGGGAAGTGGTTAAGCCGTTTATGGCAGTGGCCCAATTTCTTGGAGAGTGCTTTTGTTACCATATGTCTTAGGTTATTTATTTAGGTTCAAATCAGTGGGTCGTTCACTCTGTCCAAATTCATACATCTTAAATCCTTTGGAGTGAACATTTCACCCTGCTATTTCCCACCGGGAGTTCTGGTAATTGTTATTTGTAGTTATGCATTTGTCTAGGCCTTTTTTCACAGTTATCTGGAGATATGTCATTTTGCTCAACTTGAAAGGTCTTTACTAGGAAATAAGTAAATGGAATTCTCTTTGGGGGTTCCTGTGCACATTTGCCAGGACCACTGTATAACTGTATGTAGAACTCAAAGCCCGGTGCTGGGCAGGCCAGGGCGGGGACCTGGAGCTCTGGCACCAGCTCGAGGCTCCTAGAGCAGCCAGTTTCCCCTCGCTGGTAAGGGTAGGAAATGGGGGTGAAGGAGACCTCCCACATCAGCAGGAAAGGACGCCCCTCCCCAGCCCGCTCCTGCCCAAATGGAGCAGTTTGGCTCCATTCTTCAGACTTCAAACTTCTTCTGAGTTTCTTTAGTTTGGCTCCTCTGCGCTAAGTTTCCAGGGCCTTGGTGCAGCTCACTTCCTCAACAGAAGGCTGCTGTAATTCAAGCACGAAGTCACTGGGGTGTCCCCACTCATCAGGGACCCACAGCCTGAAAGAAAGGAGTTTACAATTGCCTCCCTCAGTCAATTATATGAATACATAATCCAGTTTGAAAAGTTCAATACAGCAATGATTATTTCATGATTCTGAAACCTGTGTTTACCTTGCCTTCTACAAAAAGCTCTCTATGCCACTCCCTCACCCCCCCCCCCGTGGCAAGCCAAGACAATTGTTGGCTCCTGGGCACTAACTGTCCTGTGAACAACCTCCATGTGTCTCTATTTAATTTCAAATCCAATAAAACTGTTTAAAGGCTCTTGTAGAGTTTAATTATTCTTTCCCACTGCCCTATTCTTTCTTAAAAAAATTTTTAAATAATACTAGTTTAAGAGTTGAAGCTATATGACATTGTAAAAATACCTTGTAACTCCAAATCGAAGCAAACAGAATGGCCCAAACTTCTGACACAGAAGTGATGACTACAACAACAAATAGGGTCTGGATATTTCTTCAACTTTCACTTTAATGCTTTCCATTCAGGGGTAGACAAGGTTGGTAAAGAAGCATAAAGCATGGGGGGAAAGGAATCAGAATGTATTTTAAGATTCCTTCTAGGCCTAGAATTCTATGATTAGGACCTTTAAAAGATAACTCTAAAAAAATCCTGAAAGAGCAAGAGTAATTAGGCAAAAAGATCTGAAGCTAGACCCACAAGGAGACCTTTTAGCAGTAAGAGATTACTAAATACCAGAATGTATTACATTCAGGATAACATTCTAGAGCAGCGATTCTCAAACTTGAGCACTCAGGGCAATCACCCTCAGGGCTTGTTATACCTCAGCACTGGGGGGCCCCCACCCCTAGCATTGCTGATTCTGCAGGTCTGAGGTCAGGCCCAAGGATTTCAGTTTCTTTTTTTTTTTTTCTCCTCAAACCTTTACTTTAAGATGGGGAAAATCTTCCTGGTACACATGGAAAAGAGAGATGTGATCACCACTGAATGAAAACAATCTAACCAGGAAGGTTTAATGCCTGTCAGCCAATGTTGAGCTGAGGGTAGGACTTGCTGCGAGGCTAAGAATGAATAATTAGTATTCCTCTCCTTCTTCCTCGCCCTCTCCTTCAACCGAATCCACACCAACCTCCTCATAATCCTTCTCAAGGGCAGCCATGTCCTCACAGGCCTCAGAAAACTGTCCTTCCTTCATCCTCACACCATGTACCAGTGAACAACGGCCAGCTTGGCATCCATCAGGGCACACTGTGGTCCGGGCGGGCCCAGGCCTCATGAGCAACAGCTGCAGTGTTGCTCAGCACACACACAGCTCCGTACCTGAGCCAGGTCTTACCTGGTACCACAGTGGAAACCTGGTAATTGATGCCAGCCTTGAAGCCAGTGGGACACCGATCCACAAACCAGATGCCATTCCTGGTCTTGGTGGCAAGGGCAGCATGGACACCTTTGGGAACCACATCACTATGGTGCAACCTGGTGCCCTAGTCCCACCCCATAGCCATTTCCCTCTGGCCACATATGGCCCTGTGATCCCTGCTGAGAAAGCCTACAAGGAACCGTTTTCTGTAGCAGAGAATACCCAAGTTTGGTCTGAGCCAGCCAACCAGATGGTGAAATGTGACCCCTGCCCCGGTAAATAAATGGCCTGCTTCCTGCTGGACCTTGCTGAAGAATTTGCATTTCTAACGGGTCTTCAGGTGCTGCTGCTGGTCCACACACCGTACTTTGAGAATCACTGTTCTAGAACACTGCCACTCAAAGTGTGGTCCACGGAACACAGCACTGGGCTTCACCAGGGGCAAATTAGAAATGCAGGAGCTCAGGCCCTTCCCCACCTCCTGCACTTCATTTTCAGAACAGCCCCAGGTTCAGGTGCTCATTAAATACTGAAAAGGCACTAATCTGGAAGTTTTAGGTGGTGAAAGCATTATTTCAAAAGTCAGGAGGAAGCAGTGGAAAATAAATATTACCCGAATTGATCCCTATGTTTTTACAATTCAGCCAATTGTAACAAATTTAATTTAGAAGCATTGTCCCCAAATTTCCATTCCCAGTCCCAGGTAGGATAACCCAGCTATATTCTGGGAACTGCATGGCTAAGGAACACCTATAACTAATTCAAAAATACTCTTCTGGCCCGTTACTAGAAAAGAAAGAGAGATAACCTCAAAAATGATTGACTAATTAATCTCTGAACCACGAAAGGGAAATAAGCTTTTGAATATGGCTATTAAGTTTCATCTTGCTTAGATAATCAGGTCTTCATACTTGAGGAAACCAAGAAGTCGCACCCTCACCTTTGTCTCCAGCTGGCCGTGGGTCACAGGTGACAAAACAACCTCAGGAAGCAAATATATTCTCAAGGTACAATTGGTAGGACTCACTCTCTCTACCCTCAAGATGGCCTGAGCCCCCTCATTCACCCTGGCTCCCTCTATTTCGAGGCCCCTGGTCTGCCTGGGCCCTGGCTGCAGCCCCGCCAGCCCTGAGACACTCCTGCTCCTCTGTGATTCAGCCAAACAGTTGCCAAACACAGTTTATAACAATGTCACAGTACACACACACACTGTCAACCTGTGACAGCTGCCGTCCCCAAGCCCCTGAAACAAACAAACGTGTGCACTTCAGTGGAGCCTTAGAAGGCTGCTCATCTGGTGGGTAGAATCCCAACCAGGAGGTCAGGCAATGGAGTGAGGGATTTTTCTCAGGGGGACTGCGTGTTACTCCTCAGATCACACACCAGGGAGGCAGGAAAGCCAACCAGACCCTGCAGCCAAATCCACTTCGGTTGTGCTGACTCATCCCCATGGCACGTGTCCCTAGGAGGGTCTGGGAAAGGGATTTCTAGAGCTCAGATGTTTGGCTCAGCTACGAGAGTCCCAGAGCTGACTTTTCCATGACATCCTTGATGGTCAGTTTGTTCAGAAAGGGACAGGACAGAACAAGTGGGTAGCAGGGTTCCAGGGTGAGAATCCTGAGGCCAGCCACCAGCTGAGGTCCCCAGGCTGGGAGCGGGGGGGGAGGGTGTCCCAGGTCCTGTCCTGCCACCAGCCAGCTACAGCAGAGCCAGTGTGGTACTAAGACACCCCCTTCTTTTGTCAGTGGGTAACGCCCTGCCCAGATAGTGGGCTCTCTGGCCCAACTTCAGGATGGACATATCTCAAAGACAAAATCTGCAAACCTGGCCATTAGCAGCACTGCTAGGAGGACTGAGCATCTCTTAGGAGCCCCATGCACCCCACTTGTCAGCCTGGCTGGGCACCTGGTTTCTCAGGAGGCTATACCACCAACTTCCCCACAGAATCAAGAGCTGTCACTGAGAAACCACAGCCCATGACAGGTCAGCTGTCAGCAGTGATCATGGGACCATGGAAGCAAGGAGAGCCCTCAGCTGAGCCCTTCACTCCTCCAGGGCTGACACACATCTTTACCAGATGCTGCTTTCTAAGCCTCAGTTTCCTCCAAGGGCCAGAGAAGCACAGGACAGGAGGCAAGTACAGCTGGGGCTCATTACCAGCAACCCAGAGTCCACTGGGAAGGACACACACAAGCTGTCCTCTTGGCTACTGGCTGACCCGGTGGGGCCATCTGGAGT